CCAACCACCCAACCACCCAACCACCCAACCAACCAACCAGCCAACCCATGAAACCACAAAACCGCTCACGTAACCACCCAACCAACCAAGCAACCAACCACACAACCACCCATCCATCCGCTCAACCACCCAACCAACCACCTAACCTAACCGCCCAACCACTAACCCACCCAACTAACCAACCAACGTACTACTGTTCGTAATTATTATAATTTTTTATTTTTTTTTGCAGCCGCGTCACTCGACTCATTGTGTCCGTCGCTTATCGTACGCATTGTGTTGCCGTCAGCTTTCGCAGTGTTGTCGGTCAGCCATTGAGACAGTTCATAATTGCCAGGTTCACTTATTCGACCTTGCGACACAACATGGCCGATGTAGTTGTTGTTGTGAAAGAGGTTGTGGCTGGAAAGGATATTGTCGTGAGAAAGATAGTGTGTGAGCGCGATACTGAAAACGAAAGAGACTTTGAACACTGGGAAGGGGTTGTCGCCACGAAAACACGTGTGTACTACGCGTTCATCGATGACACCCTCGCTTTGAGGGTCGTGGCGGGGCTGGGGTACGACGACCAGGATTGCCTTGATAAGGTTGTAATGCACGCAAAAAAACTTTCGGATGTCGTTCCCGACGCCTGCGAACCCCTCGACTTCGATATGATTGGTCATTTGCTAAGGTGCATCGTGTCAGTCGTTGCGGTCGAGCATGTGGAAAGGTTAACACCCAACGCATGATATTTCTCCAAACTCGACAAGCCGCTGCAACGCCGTACTTTTCTCCACGGAGATGTGCGCACTGTGTTGCCAATGGACGGTTGCCGACAACAGTACCAAAGTGTCAACGAACCATCATCTCGGTCGTCTCATGCTTAGTCCCAAACAGGCGGGTTGACTCACAAAATCGTAAAGGTTTTTAACATGCAACAGTGTTCGAGACCGTGACTACCCGCTCATCTCATATATATGTATAAAGCGTGTTCCCCCTCCCCGTGCGGTACATGTAGAACATCATGTTTGCATGATTCGTTGCTCGATCGTTAGGTTCATAACTTACGGTGTCAGTTTCATGTGAATTGTAGCACTTTTTGAACGCCATACGAAAGAAGCGATGATGCATTGCACGCCAATGATTGTCCGATGTTACCACACCACAAAACTGACAGGCGGCGACACCGTATACTATTACGAATCAATGACTCCCGAAACAGATCATGTCGGTGATGCAGTGGGATACCGCAATGGAGACAAGAAGGTGGATCGTCATTTCATTGTGAGCGTCGAGGAGGAACGAGTCGTCAGACTCACTACAGAGACTTATATTCGTAACCACGCCGTCGAACACGTTCGTGCCCTAATGTCTAAGCCGACCACGTACTTCAGCACCTTTGTTCTCAAACCGGTCGACGGTGATTTGATGTATGATATCGTCTTCCCCCTTGTGCATCGCATACTATACACACACTACGGGACGGTCGCTCGGGACGGCGTCTGGCGGCTGGTCGTGTCACCGCCCTATTTTGTCTCCGATGGCGAGGATTCTCTGCCATGTTTTATCCTTGCAGTGCGATCCAGCGATGAGTACCGTTCGTTGTTGTTTTTTTCCTATGTTTCTTCGTCAAATGATGGTTTGAAATATTGCACATTTTGTATATACATATGCAATCGTCATCTCACATGTGTTTGTTACATGTTTTGAGTTTTTTTTTATTCGCCTGCTTTGCGTTGTGAAATTTCTTTTCGTTTTCGTTATGTGGAGATACAGTACTAAGGTCATCGGTGCCCGTGATGTTGTGTTCTGTAGATTTCTACAAATTCACATATAAGCGACACAACAATATTCACCCATTCCCATACATGGACCGCCGACGGCGCATGACTGGCGTGCGGGCCGACGCAGTCGTGTTTGAAAATGGGACAGATACAGATCCTTTCCGCGACGAGGAGCTGACAGTCGCCGAGATTAGGAGTCGGTGGCCAGGACCCGCAACACTTTTGGAGGAGGCTGTTACTTTTGCTGGGCTGGAGGAGCACCTGCAACAGTGCATGAATCTGCTTATTGGACGTGCAAATCTCGAACCAAAGTTGAATCGTTACAATGGATATGTCGCTTTTTCTCGTCTGTGCGGGTTCTGCGTTTTCCGACAGATATTGCCAGATGAGTTCCAAACGGCAATGCGGGAACGATGGTCAGATACAATCATTCGAGGTTTTGAACTACGACAATGTGATCCTCTTGAAAACGCGCGCCCACGTCGACGTGCACGGCGGTAAATGCTTCACGACACCAGAGATAGATAGATAAATATATTGTTAGAGAGAGAGAGAGAGAGAGAGAGAGAAAGAGAGAGAGAGAGAGAGAGAGAGAGAGAGAGAGAGAGAGAGAGAGAGAATGTTTGCCTTCAGTGTGAGTACGTATGTAAGTCCGAGTGTGTGTTTGCCTGGAAACTGACATTTCCTGTTGTCGTGACTTGCAGGGATTGCATTATGTAAAATTTGGTTTCCCTGGTGTACATCATCTTCTTCTTCTTATAATCCTCGATCTCTCATTTGAAGTTCATTTATTTCATTTTGCAATTGTATGTCATTGTACCATTAGATGTGTGAAAAAAACGATTATAATCCTTGCTCTCGCCACTCAAGTTCAAAAAACTCACATAAGATACCATCATATGTGTGGGAAAAAAAAAAAAAAAAATATATATATATATATATATATATATATCACTTTGTTGTCTGACGATTTTTTTCCGGCACTCACACACAGACAATCTCAAACACGCCCACACATGCATAAGAAGAGGGGGAGAGGTGACAGAGTCAAAACTGCACACAGATAAGGATAAGCAGCGAGATTCAACCACGCACACATGGGGGAGGTCAGACAATGACTCTCACTCTCCGACAGACTCCCAACAAACAATCACAATAAAAGACCTCAGCAAGATCACAATTCATATGATGATGAACCAACTCGAACGAATATCATAACAGAGTTTTTTCCAGTCCCTTGCTCCCCAATCGATTTCCCTCATTCTACTAATAGAGTACATTAATCTAACCTACACCTATACCGGAGTGACTAACCGACCAACACCGTTGCAGTTTCGGCCTCTCGGCCTCTACCGAACCCGACTATAGGCTATAGAACCGTCTATCAGGTTAGGCCATTAGGGTCTGTCTGTCCTGGGGGTAGTCCGGGCCTGCTATTCGCAGCAAGGGTACGTATAGGAGATTCGAAATACTGCTGGGCCTGTATTTTCCATATTTACAGATATGACTGTCACGAATTTTCCTCACAGGCTCGTCTCACAATAAGCCCTCAGTCGAACAAAATTACAAATGTAACCATAGGGGGTAGTATACAGGCTCGCCATTAGTCTTGGAAGTCAGACTGACCAAAAATAGAGATGTATATACAAGTAAAGAGACGGACATAATGTAGTGTAACAAACAAAACACCATGACATGTGCGTGAACAACGCCATGCACAATGAAATTCGGATGACCACACCGATGTCAGGTCAACGATAAAGCCATTCAACCAGTCAAACGCTGAACAACTCTATATCGTCACCCTCAGATTCGGAGCTCGATGTCTGGACCCAATCATCGCATGCAGGCACCGCATCGTCCTCCACGTGACCGATGATGAAAACATGGTTTTCCCCCACCACCTCATGGTCGGAATCTGAGGCAGCATCATCAACGACTTCCACTGGGTCGCCCCAAACGTTGACGAACAAATCACGTGGCAATGGTCCGGCTCCATAAGGACAAACCTCATGCCGCAGAAGCTCTCGAGCCCATTCTGAAACATAAGCCGAACCGAACATTGACGCCGCCAATCTGTCCTCCCAACAGTCGATCGCCTCGTGACCGTAGTGTCGACGGAAGCCTGGTCTCGCACGTATGGAAGTGCCCGCAACAATGCAAGCAACATACCCGACCGGGTCGCGCCAACAGTGACTATTCCAACGAATCACTGCGATCGATAAACGTGTACAGAAAGACTTCTCGAAATGCACCGACTTCTTCGCATAGATAATGATGGTGCCCTGAAAAGTCTCCACCGCCAATGTGTGCCGAAACTCGACGTAGTACGGCGTGATGTTAGTGCTGCATTGTTTATCGAGAACACGCAGAACGATCTCGTAGACCATGTCCGTGCAGCTACACAAAGGCAATCGTGCACGCCCACCGGCCTTCTCATAGAGAACCTCCCTACTGTCCACACATCCTGAATGATCACCAGCCCAATGATCGGCGACCAACATGATGTCGCGGTGTAGACTGTCGGCGTCTCCGCCCTCGTCCCTGCACAGCTGGCAAGCGCGGAGGAACCACATCCCAACCTCATGCGCATGATACTCTGTCAAGCCGTCTGGATCAGTCTCCAACGCTCGAGGATTCAACCTCGATCCGTAGGGGTACATCTTTCACATGACGACAACGATGAAGTCCGATTTCTTCAGCCGCTCCTCAGCAGGTGTGAGGACGTCAGGTCCAAAACGTTGCTCCAACGCCTCCTTTAGCCGCTTCTTCGTGAACTCTATGAACTGCGCCTATGATACACAGTCGTGCGGGCTGCTCACTTTCTTCGCTTCCTTCAGTTGCAGCATACTGTGGAAGTGCTTTCGAATGTTTTTTATTTTGTGGTGGCAATCCTTCTGCCACTCGATGTTCATAGCTCGCAACTTCGGTCTCTGCGCCGCACAATCATCCGAGACAACGCACCGGATCGTCAACCCCTTGTCCATCAGCCCTCGCAAAAGTTGCACGACGACTGGCACCTCAAGCGCATTCGATGCCTTGCCTTCAATCTTCGGACGGAGAGTGTGAACACCTACGACAAGTCGAGTCTCGTACTCCATCGCGGTGACAGTGCAATGATGCGCGCCTCTGGCAGAGTCATATCGACCATCAACCATCAATATCACTGGCTCACCACGGCGCATCACAGTGTCAATGGCAAGCTCGCAATATTTTATGCCCTGTCGTACGACCTTGGCATTCCACCCCTCCGCCCCCCCCGGTTCAGTGCGCATAAACTTGTGGAATGTGGGTTTGTGCACCGAACACATCCCTAAACAAACACAAAAGTTGTCGAGTAGCGTAAAGGTAAGGCCGGCGGTGGCCATCGCATGAAAGAGTTGTTGCATCAGTCGCGACTGATAGACGTTCATGGTCACGAGTGCCATGTGCCACGTTCATTTGCATTTCTTGTCGCATACGAACGTCAGCTTACAGAGTTGCGCAGGATACGAGACGGACTCCACAGACACACGGCACGAGCCCTTGTGCCACGGGCAATATAGATGAAACATGGCGAGCAATTGAAGAAGCTTAACTGGCTCCAGAAACACAACATCCGGCGCTGTCGGTCCACTCCATCTAGCCATCGCCTTCCCAACACTGGTACGGTCAATTTCAGGTCCAGGACCGCACTAGTCAACACCGTCCCAACTATCCCACCACGTCTGCGGCCGAGCAGGTGTCGGTGTGGAACGACCTGCGTTGCGGGGTCTGCCACGCCCTCTGTCACTACGCTGGATGCACGACGCGATGACGGGAACGAGTTCTGCGATCCGTCATGAGACTCACCCAAGCCTCCGCTCGCTGAACCCCGCGAACCCCCCTGACCGTAGTCAACATCGGAATCGCCTGGCATATAACGCAACGTGAAATCTCGACCGCACACCCGAGATGGCAACGAAGAAGAAATCACATCTCCTACCTCGTCTCCAAACTCCGCTCGGATGGCTGGCAAGGACCAGTGCAACAGCCGATCAACAACGTCGCTGACCGGTCCGCGCTGGTCACCCAGATCGGCCATGGCGTCGCGGAGAACGTACAACCGTCTCCGACACGCGTCCCGCACACAGATTCGCACGATGCTGTTGCCGCCCGAACACGGCGTGCCGCCGACTGCCACTAAGTTATCCGCATCGTCAAACGAAGGTGTGGAATCTGGAGCGACAAAGGGAGCCTGAGGCGGCACCGCAAACGAACCCGCCGCCTCGTCGACGACTCGTCGACATGAAACAGGTGGAGAACGCAAAGCGTCGCTGCGATCTCCTGCGAGAGAACCGCCTCCAGCAGGACATGGCGGGGCCACCGCATGTGACCATACAGGTGCTAAAGGAATCGTGGCCGCATAGTCCAGTCGTCTAGGCAGCAAAGGGGATGGCAGCAACGGAGCACCATACACACCTCCAAACGTGGCCGCGTCACGGAACCCGGCCACACCCGGCGGAGATGCCCCCAACAAACCGGCGAAAGGCGAGATGGGTGTCACGCCCGGCCCAACGACGCTGTCAGTCGCATGCGAAACGGTACCGCGGCGCCGTTTCCCCAACCTGACCTCCGGACCACCGTTGTGCGGTGAAACACCCAACAACCCCCACGCTGCACTTGGAGATCGATCGACGCTTTGGCGAGGATCGGGGGTCCCCTTCGGAGAAAGAGAGAGAGGGAGACCACACACACACACACACACACAGTCACACACACAGGCACACACGTACACAGTCATCAATCAATCAATCAATCAATCATTTTTGAATATAGAGAGAGAGGGAGAGCTTCTTCTTCTTCAACTTCTTCTTCTTCTTCCTCCTCCTGTTCTTCTTTTTCTTCTTTTTCAGCTTCTTCTTCTTCTTCGTACTCCTCTTCTTCTCCTTCGTCTTCTTCTTATTCTCCGTCATCATCCACAGCGCCCACCACAGGCAAGATGCTATGTGCTCATCCTAACCTCACTGGCCTGTTCTCATCCTAACCGTACCTACACAGTGCAAGGTGGCGCCTTTGCCTGAAGGCCGCTGAAAGGCGATGGCCGCTGGAGCTATGGCGCCAACAGGCAGCGAAAAGGTTCGTTTTGTTTTCACAAAAAAAAAAAAAGGTTGTTCGAGGGGGTTTGACGGGTTCGGCTGATCGGCGCCCTGCGACATGGTAGGGCCGCCGTTACCCGGTAATATTTCTTTTTTTCCTTTGTTTTTATTCGTCTTCTTCTTCTTTTTCTTCTCCTTTTTTTTTTTTTTTTTTTTTTTCTTCTTTTTCTTCTTCTTCTTTTTCTTTTTCTTATTCTTCTTCCCCTTTCTGTCTTTCTTTGTTTCTTGCTTTGTTCCTTTCATTCATTCTTTCTTTGTTATGGTTTTTTTTGTACTTTTTTTTTTTCATCAAAAAATATAACTCCTGCCCCGAGGTTTGATCCATATTCTTTTTTTTTTTTCCTTTTCTTATCGATGGATCAGAAGCCAAACACGGAAGGCGCTTCAGATCCGTGCAACCATACACAGACGAAGGGGGCAGGATAGACAAGGGAGGTGACACGGAGGTGACATGAAGGTGACAAAGAGGTGACACGGAGGTGACACGGAGGTGACACGGAGGAACAAGAAGAGGGTGGGGGAACTCACCTCGCAATCACCAAGTGCGTCGGCCTTCCTCGCGTGCTGTCGACGGAACAACGACAGCGGCCAAGAGAGAGAGAGAGAGAGAGAGAGAGAGAGAGAGAGAGAGAGAAAGAAAGAGAGGGAGAGAGAGAGAGAGAGAGAGAGAGAGAGAGAGTGGTGATGGCGGGCGACAAACAGACAGAGAGAGGCGATGGCGGCCCGCTGAGAACCCCACGTGCGTCGACGCGAGCTGGTCCCCCCTCCACACCCGCCCCTGCCTCCCCCCTCGCGAACCCGGTCGCCCACCACGGACCATTCACCGGCGACCGCACACCACCGACTGGCCAACTGCCGCGCAACAACGACCGTTCACGGGACCCGGTAACGTTTTCACATTGCTGTCGTTGTCCACGTTGGTCCACGGCCAAAATAACGTCCGACCACAAAATAATAAAAAATAACAAAAAAAACAACAAAATAACGAATAATAAGAGTTGGTACCCACTGTTGGGAATCCACGCCGAGGCTCTGCCGACCCCCGAAAAGTTCGGGTACTGGCCAGTATCACGTAATTTCCCAACAGTGGGGAAGGTACTGGTGGTTTAAGGGAAAACAGATCTCACCAGTATTAGCGATGCTGATAAGAGCAGACACCGCTAGCACTAGGGGACCGGCTCCATCTATTGGTGGGGAGCTTCACCTGTTGGAAAGTGGGTCCTGCGTCCCTTATAATTATGATACATTCGAGTTTCATCAGAACGCATCAGTACAACCTTAGGAGGGGAGCCTCTTCACCTTATTTTCGGCGCCAGATTCCTGCTTTAACGCACTGGCTCCCTTCTATTCCTCCATCTATCCAATTTCATTTTAAACCGATCTGATTGTGTTTTTTTTTTTTTTTGACAGAGAGAAGGTTTGAGCTTCTTTACGCAGGGCAGGACGTCAGATGAGAAGAATTGTTACTCCTAGCTCGATGTATTATCTAACTTTTTTTTTTTTTTTTTTTTTT